TAAAATCAATAAAAAAGATTAAAAAACCAAAAACCAAAAATAAGAATAGAATCATACATACAGTATAACAAAAATAACCTTAAATTTATATCAAAATACAAAAATTCATGCCATGTAAAATATTTGAAGCTAGTAGTTGCTTTCTAATTTAAAAATAGACCCAACAATATACCTTTTATCCCATCATTTTTATACTATATTACCTCTTTTTTTTTTTTTTGAAAGAGATGCCTGAATCTAACCTTCTTTGCTCATCTTTTCCCCTGACCATGACCAACAACTTGTAACTCTAAATGATGACAAACAACCTTTGAATGATCAAATACCATCCACCCCCATCTCTTGGGAACATGGGCACTGTGTTCCCTAGACTGCTTCCTATTGTCTGGATCAACAGCGTTTCTAGGGGATCCTGAGAAAATTAGAATAATGGTCATGTTCTGGGGAAGAGATAGCTGTAGTTTTTGTTTGTTTGTTTGTTTGTTTTGTTTTTTGTTTTTTGTTTGTCTCTGTATGGTAGAAAAGTGTAGTTGGCTTGAGTAGTCTGTGAGGCTTGACCGTCTCAGTTGGTAACTTTGAAGTTGTTCTGGATACAGAATTTTGAACTAACTGCAAGAGAGTCATGCTGAAAGGCTGGATCACCTGGGCTACTTTTTCATGGATCCTTTTTCCTGGAAACATACAAACTATTAAACTCAACATATATATCTGTATTAACACAGTATAGAATGTGTAGTGTGCACAAGTCAGCTAAAGAAGATTCTTTTATTTTATGTTTGAACAGGTAAAAGGCATCTGTTAACTTTATAATTTTTTTCAGACTGTATAACCAAAACTTTATCCATGCCATATAAAAGGATGGCATGTAATGATTAGTCATGAGGACCCTGGAGCCTACAGGATTTATCACGTCTCATCTCGGAGCTGATTCCATGTGGAGGGGTCAGCATATATGTCACCTGTATTGTTGTTTTTCTTGCTGTTTTTTTCTTCACATCTATAGCCAAGATTTTTCAGGAGGTCTTCCCTAAACAAATCTGAACTTTATTAACTTTGAAGAAATCAATAGTTTTGTTTACTGTGGAAACAAAAGCAAAATCCATCCCCCAACACAACATACTTTTTCAGTTTCATTCTGAAGTTAAGACATTTTTAAAATATGTAGGTTGGTTTAATTTAGCAGTTTCCATAAGCCAATGTCTCTCAGGAGATTTTGTTTTTTGTTCATTAGCTTTTTAAAAAAATCAAAGTTAATAAAGCACCATACAAGATCCAGATACCCTGTGTATTTTCCAACTTTATGTGTATTTTTCCTTTTATATTACTTTACTCTTTCTTTAAAGACATTATTATTACTAACCATTCATTTATTTTTTTAATGACAGATTATACTCGTTCTCTTTTCTCTCTCCAACATCTAAGCACAGTTTTAAGCACACTGTAGCTGTTGAGGGTTTTCGCCTGGATGGAGCCGCATGTGTGCAGCTGCACACTTTCAGTGCTCTCTGACTGCAGGACAGGAACCTTAAGTTGTTAATTGGTGGCTAGGCCCTCTGTGGACAGTTTGACTTAGTACAGAGACTAGCGGCTGACTCTGCCCCCTTCAGGTTGGTGAGAGTGCAGCCTTATGCCTGTCAGCCCAGGCCTGGTGCCAGTCTATCCAGCCCAGCTCTAGGAAGCTTCTGAGTGCATGCTGTAGTAGGCATTTCTACTTAGTCATTCTGCTACCCAATAGTGCGCTGTCCTATTACTCAAAAGCACGGTTCAAGTGCTCAGTAGCAGGGCATCTTAAAAGAGCCATGCCTCTGTATGCTCCGAGCACTGAATCTCCTTGAAACTCTTTTATTTCAGTATTTTGAGACCCTAATGTGGATTTACGTGCTGGACCGTGGGTTACATTTGTAGTAAATTTTCTTGTCTGACTATCTTTGCACCATGAGACCGCAAATAAAGACCTGGAGACTTATGAAAGTCTGGTCTTTAGCTTAGGCTTGTCCCCAACTAGCTCTTATAACTCAGATTAATGCATTTATATTAATCTATGTTCTGCCACGTGGTATTGTACCTCTTCTTTTTTTTCTGTCTTTGACTGGCAATGCTGACTTTCTTCTTCCCAGCATTCTCTCTCTCTGCCAGGAAGTTCCACCTATACCTCTTCCCTAGCTATTGACCATTCAGCTTTTTGTTACAGCAATCACAGCAAAATATCTGCAGACATTGTACAAATATCTCACAATAGTTGTGAGGGTCAATGTTAATTGTCATTTACTGCAAAAAGAAGCTTTTTTTGATGAGAGTGGAGAGATGCACTCATCTATGGTTGTAGCATAGTTGTTACTGGTCAGTTTGATACTGAGTTTGTTTAGCAAAAAATAGTAGTAGATTCTCTCCTTCGGTTCTTGATTTATCTAGCCACAAGCTCATGGATAATGGTGCTGGGCAAGGGTTGCATCTTATAGAGTAGGACTTAGCCCAATTAGAATGTGGTTGGTTACACCCACACATCCATACAACTATTGACCAGGTAACAAGTCTTGTCAGGCCTAAAAACATTTGTACATGTTTCTTCACTCATGAGGTTTGGTGTTTTATATCAGAGTAAAGATTCCATCTATTACCAGACTACAAAGGTTTACATCTGTGCTTTCTTCTAGAAGTTTGTTAGTTTTTTAGACAGGGTATTCCTTTGGAGCCTGGCTGGCCTAGAACTCTGTACATAGACCAGACTGGCTTTACGCTCCCAGACATCTGTCTGCTTTTGCCTCCCAAGTTCTGGGATTAAAAGAATGCACTGCCACATGCAGTTTTTCTGAGTTTTGTGGTTTTCCATGTGGATTAACATACAATCTGAGTTCACTTTGTGTGTGGTGTGAGGTACAGATCCTCTTTCACCTTTTGCACAGGTATGGGCTTATTCACATGCTCACAAGCTGGTCAGTCCACTGTATTGCCATTGGGCCTGATCCAAAAGTGATCTGGTCACTAATGTGTAGACACTTCTGTAGAGTCTGTGATTCTATTCCTTTGATATATCTGATGTCCTTTAATCCAACACACTATTTGGTTATCATAGCTACGTGTTGAAATCACTTTCCCCTCCTAACTTGTTCTTTTCCTGACGATTTTGACAATTCTTGAACATGTTCGTTACATATGACTTTAAAAAAAAAATCTCTAGGCATCAAATAGTAGCCCCTTTCAAAGCAATCAAGTGTTGTGCCACTGAGTGCAAATGGCGGATTTCCTTGGAAATGTTGGGACCATTATGGACAAAACATGTCCAAGGGTTCTGCTGTTGAGCGATTCTCAGGACAATTAACCTCTTCTTTTCTTTCTTTCTTCTCTTTCTTTGTTTTTTGCTTTTTATCAAGACAGGGTTTCTCTGTAGCTTTGGAGCCTGTCCTGAAACTAGCTCTTATAGACCATTCTGACCTCAAATTTACAGAGATCCACCTGTCTCTGCCTCCCAAGTGCTGGGATTAAAGGTTTTCGCCACTGCTGCCCTGCGAGAATTACCTCTTAATAAAAAATCTGTGCCTCTTGAATCCAGTATCTCCATGTCTATAGACTACTTCATTTTCTCAAAAACATTTTGTAAATTTTAGATATTTTACCAGATATTTCAAATATTTTATCAAAGTTTTTATCTTCTTTTGAAATTCATTTCTTACTTATTCATCAACATTTTCATAACTTGCTTTTATCCCAGTGAAATTTATCATTCAGACAATTTTATTCATAAAATAATTATAGTGGCAGTGGTGAGATCAGCAACCATTGGAAAGTTGGGACATTGGGAAGAACTGCTGAAGGCTCCAGGCCTTCTGTCTGGATCTTTCTGCAGTGTCTTTCCCTGCACTGCCTCTAGTGCGGGCAAACATTCAGAATAAAGGTAGTAACCTCAGCGATCCCTAGGTGTGAAGAGTTGAGGGAGTCTGTAACAGAAACAATGAACGCCTTGCAAAGAGGAGAAAAGCAAGAAAGGACACAGCTGCACTTCATTTCGACAAAGCACACAGATTTTAATCACTGTACACTGTCCCACTCAATAATTCCCTGTGAAGTCCCAACAAAAGCACACGATGCTGGTTTATCAGATCACTAACTTGCTAAACACTGACCCAAATCCTCTTGGTGAATGAGTGGGTTGACCAGGGAATGAATGCTGATTGACTCTAGAGCAGAGACCCCTTGGACCACAGGCAAAGATAAACACTGCACAAAGAGGAAGAGATGGGACACCAAGGAGTGAGGGACACAAGGAGCTACAGAAGAGTTTGGCTGCCACATAACGGAGGACAGTGACAGGAAATTGTGATGTTTGAGTTTCATGCTGTTGCTGGGACAAGCACCGTGACCAAAAGCAACTTAGGAAAGGAGAAGGTTTATTGCAGGTGACAGGTCCCAGTGCATCACAGAGGACAGTCAGCACAAGAACCCAAGCAGAAACAACGGAGGATGAGTGAGCCAGGGAGCAGTGTGGGGGCAGCGTCCATCTTGTAAGCTGTGCCTGTGGCTGAGCCAGATGTTCACGAGAGCTACAGCCCTCTGGACTGGAGGCCTGAGACGGTCATGGGAGCGGAAGGTGGTACTAGGCAAGGCTAGGCAAGACAATCTCTGTGCAAGGAAAATGACATTGTGAGGCCGGTGTCTGGCACATGTACGTATGTGCTCACATTACACACAGAGCACACACAAAATAACAGAAGTAGGAAAACAAGCTAGGGTTGATGGTGGCTTAGAGCAAGTAGGGGTGAGTTTAGGAATAGAGTAACAGATGCAGTTCAACAGAAGGGTCTCAGATCGCAAAGCTGGGGGGCTGCCTCTACTGATGTCCTGGGAGCACTGAATGGGAAGCACCTGTGTACCTGTGGCTAGTCCTGCACCTGGGAGGTAGGACAGGTCCTAGAGTCTTTTGGGAAAGCCTGTGTGAGGAGGAGACTCAGGTAAGTGGTCCCCAGGAAGTGACCTCACTTCCTTGACAAGGACCTAACAGTTCAGAACCCTTGTACCCAGACAGCCAACTGCCGAGGAACAGGTTAGCCGGGTCTCATCCTTGAGACCCTAGAGAGAGCAGAATGTTCTCTTGCTGCCTTCAAACTGCTCAACACTCAGGCCTCAAGAAGGACAACAGTGAAGGCCATGGTGGTGTCTGGAGACAGCGGGTTCGTTCTTGCCTCCAACACCTCTGGCCATTTGGTAGGAAGGAAACAAACTTGACCCAGGGAAACCAGGGTCAGGAACACACAGACCAGGTAACCACTCTGAAATCTGAGATCTTTCTCGGGTTTCACTTTGGGTGCTTGGCATTGTAATGGTTCAGGAAAACTTAAAGTGGTAATAACCAATCAGAACCTGCAGTCCTGTTCCTGCTTGAACAATCCCCCATGACCTCTCCTCAGGTTGAGAAGAAGTCTGCCCCAAAGAACCCGAAGGAGCCCTGTACAGAGTCCCGCATCAATGCAGACATGGTGGAAAAGTTGGTGAACCACCTGGTACCTTCCCTGCAGGGTGGGGACCTCTTCTTTGTCCCTGCCTTCCTGTACACCTACCGAAGGTTTGCCACAACCCAGCAGGTGCTGGACCTGCTGCTCAAGCGGTGAGTGCCGTTTCCAAGCCCAGAGGCCTCGGATCTTCCTGTTGGTTCTGGGAAGCACTCTGTCTCTGTCTGAGTCTACTTGTTTTCTAGAGTATTGTAGGATCCAGCAGCACGAAGTCAGAAAATGCTTCCTGCAGGCTAGGCTCTGGGGACTGGGGTGTCTAGATTGGGACTGTAATGAATGTGGGTGTCCCCTGAACCTTGAAGAAGTTCCCGTCCCTGATCAATTTTTAGATGTTTTGGTCAAAGCATTTTCCCATTTGTAAAGAAGGTTCTAGTGTAGTGAATTAAATGTGTACTGAATAGAGACCCACAGAGAATAATTTTAGGGACTCCGTGGCCCCTGAAATGTTTGTGTTCACCCATATGCAAACATTTCTGAAGCACCTAATGTGCAGGTGAGCCAATAATCCTGAGAGCAGAGAGAATTGTACCTCCATTTATCTCCAGGAATGAGCCTGGCCCCAAGATATCTTTTAGCTGGGGGACCTGGGGCCTTTACAGGTGACATCATTTCTGGTCTCCCCTAGGTATGAATACTTCCGCCCTTATTGTGAGGAGGATGAACGGGTAAAGAAGTAAGTGGACTTTTCAGCAGGAGAAAGGCCTTGTCTCTCCAGAGTGGGGTCATTTGTGTACCCAGGGTAAGGGATGGCTGATGCTTGTGTGTCAACTTCTTCAAGTGTCTACTCCCACACTGACGTGTAAGCATTTGTGCAGGGTGGGAAGAATTGCAAGTGGGAAGATGTGGGAAATCTTTGTTCTCAGGAGCCTCTGTGAGACTCATGCCAGGCAGGTTTGGTCAGCTGTCTTCCATTAGAGCCCTGAGAAAGGTTGTGTGCAGCTCCCTGTTCACAAGGACCTCACAACCCTGCTCACTGTATTCATGTGCATAAGGGCTGGACATCTTCTGCCTTGCAGTCCTCACTGGAAGGAATCATTAGAGGGTTGAAAAGGAAAGTCTAGGCAACTAACTTTGTTGTCTATACTCTTCCCTAGGACCATTTGTACCTTCCTGGACACGTGGATGGACAAGAAACCTGAGGAATTTTGCCAGACTTCAGCTCTGTCCATTGTGAGACAGATGAAGAACTTTTTGATTGTACATACACCCTACTCAGACCTTGTTCTCCGTGTTCATATGCTCCTGACTCATTTGGAGGAACAAAAGGCCACTGAAACAGAGGCCAGGGATGAAGAAGTCTCAGGTAGGTGTTTGACACCCTGTGAGGTATGTTCAGTACCTGGTGTGCTGGGGAACGCTTGAGAGGCTTCTGTTTGCAGGACTTGTCACTGGACCCTAGCCTGACCACATTTTGTAGGATAGGATCTGGGATTTCCAACAAACATGGTGTCCTCTGTGTTTGGAAAGGATGAGGAAGTGGTCTCATTCTGGGTGTGTTGTCTCTAACTGTACCTCCAGTGCCACTTCCCCTTCTAGAGGTGCTTACATCTGCAACACATCTGTCTCCATCCACACATCTGTAGATCCAGAGCATTAACATCTGCAACACGTCTGTCTCCATCCACACATCTGTAGATCCAGAGCATTAACCAGCAGTGAAGCCAGTCATCTAGAGCCAGAACCAACTTGTGCACCAGAGTAAAGATCACAAACACCACCAGAAGATTCCATGATACCTCTGCTGTTGGGACCAGACATGACAGCAGATTCAAGCCAGGACAGCAGCAGCAGCTGTGGTTTCTGTGTGTCTCACACAACAGGAGTCACTGAGCAACTTTCACACACCTTACCTTAAGAGCAGTGGGTCCAGCTCCCCAGAAAATGGTCCTGCCATCCCTCTTCCCTCTTGTTGTCCATCTATATCTGCTCTGCATACAGCACCAGCTCTGCTGTTCTCCACAGGGTGGCCCATTTCAGTCCAGCAGCAGTCGTTGCACCACAACCAACTTCCCCTCTCCTCAGAAATAGTCTCTTTAGTCTTCTGGCTCTTTTCAATGTGTGTGAAATTATGGTTTTAATAAATCATTAGTGCTTGATTTTCATGGCCTTGATTATGGTTATGATGTCCACTCAGCATGCTTGTTCATGGTGATAGCAATGTCCCCAAGCAGATACATGGAGACCATACTGGAGATAAGGAGGCAGAGTGCTTGCTTTGACAGAGGCCAGAAGAATGCCTGAGAGCTGTGCTGGACATACAGAGAGGTGAGGCTGACTGCCGCTTGTGCGCTGGGGGCCGAGCGGCCAGGGTCAGGCTTAGAGGTCAGGCTGCCCAGGTGTCCTTCACAGGGACTTCTGCTTTAGCTTCAGGCTCCTTACTTGGGGTGGCAGAATCATTTCAGGGTCTGATGAGGACAAATTGCAATGTCATGAGATCCCTGCTTCCCGTGAGCACAAGGCCGGGCACACAACCACCATTGCTCATATTAAGTACACAGTTTGAAGAGTGAGTGTCAGAGTTTTCAAGATTTTTTTATGTTATTGACGAGATTTAAACCATGCTGATATTCTTGAAGTAATGCCTAGCTTTTCGTCAATGTTGGCGATAGTCTGGGAGTGACAATCTCAAAGTTTTATTTATATTTCCTTCTGTGTTTGTGGGTATGGCCTGGAAACAAACCAGCTGGCTTCTATGCCTTTTGACTCTCTCCAGGAAAATTCCATTGGTGACTACTGCCTGTTGATGTCCCACATATGTGACCTTGAACATCTAAGGCCTTTGTTTCTCCAGTGAAGCCAGTTAGGGTGTACAAGATTTCTTAGGGGTCACAGATCTGCTCATTATAGCATCCAAGGAATGAAGGGACCCCTCCCTTCAGCCAACATGACACGTTTTATGGGAAAAGATCAAACAAGTTTTAGTTCTCTAGAGGCAAATGCCTATACTTCAGAGAGTCCACAGAGCGTGGGAATTGAGTTTCAGTAAGATCTGTGTAGGGTGAGATGAGTTGGGGGCCCAGTGCAGGATGTCATCTGAGAGACCCTCATCCTGACTGGTTCAGAATCAGCTTCTGGTGATGTGGAATTAATGTGTGCCAGTCCACCAGAGCAGGGACAGTGGACTGGCCGTGGTAAGACAGTACAGGAAATGTAACATGGTGAAGATTTGTGTGCGCCTGTTCACAAACAGCAGTGGAAAGTGCTCTTACAGGTCACAGATTAATTGTATATGTAAAATACATATATGTAAAATGTGATATCATTAGAACTAATAAAGGACTGCCATGTCATAAGTGAATTATGGATAAAAACCTGCATCTTAGATCTTTATCAAAGGAAGAGCTGAAAATGAAATTACACAGAATTGTTATCACTAAAGTAATACAAATGATATTTAAAATGTTCACAGGTAAAACCAGAGCATTTTCACAATAAAGTTTGACTATCTAAACCTAGGAAAGAGATCCTGAATCCCTCTCTTCACAAACTGAAAGGCTCAATTTTCTCTCCAAATCTTCAGTATTGTTGTAGCTGGCACCATCACTGCTGTGACTGAGCACTTGCCGGCAGCACAGTAAGGAAAACCAAGTTGTCTCTCAGCTTCACGGGCCTCAGTCCATCATGACAAGGAGGGCAGGTGCAGCTGAGCCGTTCACACCACACTTGGTCAGGAAGCAGAAGAGAATCGGGTACTTGGCTGGCTTTCTTCTTTGATTCTGTCCAGACCGCAGCCCGAGGGACACTGCTGTGCACATCCAGTGTGGGTGTGCCCTCATCAGTGAACCTCCTTACATGCCACCATCACAGGATGCACACTCGGTTGTGCACACCCATCTCCTGGAGTTTCCTAAATGCACTCAAGTCTCCAGTGAACATTAACCAACACCCTTCCATGCATCAGTCTACCATTCAATGTGGACTTACTGTGGTAAGCCTGACCCCTGTGGTTTCTCCTTCCTAAAGATTCAGGATCAAGGCAGGTCCAGCCGTGCTTCTTGCTGCAAAGGAGAGCAAAGAGCTTGTGTAACAGCAGGAAAGGGAAGGAGCCTTGGAGACTTTGCTCTGAAAGACCCTTGACAGCACCCTTGGTGTTACTCAGCAGCAGCCTGGCACAGGGCTATCTACTAACTTTCAGGAAGAGGCCCCAGTAGTCCAGCCCTTGCCTAGCATGTATGAGACCCTGCCATTAATCCCCATCACTCCAAGAAGAAAACCAGTTTCCAGACACATGTCTGTCACTTCCTATTTTCAGGACTTATCTGTGGTAGATTTTCAAGCTACAGACCTTGATGTCCCTGAACTCTGTGAAATTTACAGTTCTATATTTTCGTTTAGTAGCTTGAACTGGTTAAAGCACATTGTGGGTCCCATGGAGGACCACTCTACAGCAAGAACGTTCCTGGATTTTGACATTGTGGCTGTGCTTATAAAAGACTTAGTACATTACGCAGGGGTTTGTTATGTCAGAAGGTAGTTAGGAAAGAACCATCGCAGAGTTAATATGTAAATGTTGCATTCACACTAAGCAGAGGTCATTTGGTACTGCTCTGTTGCTGTGATAGAACATCAGGACCACGGCAACTGCCAGAAGGAAGATTCTACCTGGATTTAGTTTAGTTTAGTTTAGAGGATTTAGTTTCCAGGGAGGCGAGTCCATGCTGGTGTAGCTGAGGCATGGCAGCAGGCAGAAAGAACAAACTGTAAGTGATGGGGGCCTTTCAACCTCAAAGCCACCATAGTGCCATCTTCCTTCAGCATGGTTGTGCAACTAAAACCTCCTCAAATAGCATCACCAGCTAAGGACCTGAGACTATGGGGATTCATATTCAATCAACCACAGCTGTGTAATCAAACAAGCTATATGAATGAACAGATTTCAATCATCTCAATGGAAAAGCGAAATGGAAGTGTATTTCATAGTTTCTGGTTGGAAACTGGCTGTAAGTGAATCAAACTCGTGCGACCATGATGATGGTCAGCAATACTATGTGTCAAGCATCATCACATCACCATAATCACCATTATCATTCTCGTCATGTTAAAACATTTAATTGGAATTTGATGTAATTCAGTTTGTACATTGGTCTTTAATGCACATTTCTGGTTGGTGTAGGAGATTCTTCTGTCTATGTGTTGCTTTCATTGGTTGAATAAAGAAACTGCCTTGGCCTTTTGATAGGGCAGCACTTAGATAGGTGGGGAAGACAGCACTGAATGCTGGGAAGAAGGGGCAGTGTGGCAGATGCCATCGTTCTCCCTGCCCGAGATGGACACTGTTTAGAATCTTTCCCAGTAAGCCATGACCTCGTGGTGATACACAGATTGGTGGAAATGGGTTAGATCAGGATGTCAGAGTTGGCAAAGAAGAGTTTAGATATAATGCGCCAGGCAGTGTTTAAATAAATACAGTTTCTGTGTGATTATTTCAGGTGTAAGATAGCAGGGCGGCTGGGCCAACAAGCAGGCCACTCACTCCTACTACACCTGGTTCTTTAAGAACAAGAGTTACTCTGTGGTTGAATAAGATGCAGGATTGTAGAATGTGGAGTCAGGGAGTAAGTTCTCTGGACACCAACCTTTGTTGCCAGGGACCAGCCTGGGAGGCAAAATGAATACACAAACACAGGATTCTGATGTAAGCTGACAGACTATCAGCTGCAGGGCAAGTTCTTCTTCTTCTTCTTCTTCTTCTTCTTCTTCTTCTTCTTCTGCTTCTGCTTCTGCTTCTGCTTCTGCTTCTGCTTCTGCTTCTTCTACCCTGAGCTTCAAACTTCAGTTTTAATTGTAAATTTTACACAAGGAAAATGATTCTTTTTTTTCTTGCCACAAGTCAATCATTACCCGAGCAAAGCAGTTCACAAGAAGTATGACGATTCTTTGAAATTAGAACATCATCATCCATCTTTTTCCAGTTCCCAAGCCCCATGCCAGCCACTATATTCTTAACTCTTCACTGAGTTAATCATAAAACAACTTTTGAGGCTTTCTCTCCGAGACAAACTACTTGCTGTCACAGAGCATAGTTCAGTGGGTTTTGTTCCATTGTCTACCTTTCCTATTGTTTTCCCAAAAATTTCCCAAAATTTCCTCATGATTCCAATTTTGATTTATAAGACCATAGACAGTCAGACCTAAATCTTTAGGTTCTTCATAAACTTTATTATCATAGCCAAGTTCTTTCATGTTTTAGTATAATTCTTTTGCCAAGTTTTGTTATCAGGCAAAGAACACTTTCAGCATTTTTCCCAAATTTCCCCAATTGTTTCCCCATAACCTGTTTTATGGCTTCAATGCCTGCCCATTCTGTCAGATCAGGAAGACTCATATTACCATATAGCACATCCATTCTTTCAGAAGCCACTGGTGTGAAAGAGAAAAAGAACATGGAGAGCAAGTGTACTAGTCAAATTGCTATAACCAGAATCATCTGAACATTGCCAAGTGTGTATGCAGACTCCACAGAAGCAGTTCACAGGGCACATAGGTGTTTTCTCCTCAAGTAACTCGCTCGCTTAGCTGCCATTGAGTTGCCTGGAGAGAATTGCTTCCTGCAGCTCAGGAACCACACGTGGAGGGGCCTATGCTTTGCCTTCTCCGGCACTTTATAACTTGCCCTCTCCAGCAGCTTGGTCAATACCAAGATGGAGCAAGGGAGAACTAAAATATGAAGCTGAAATTCAATTCTAGCCGACCAACTCAATCCAGTCTTGTGTTCTCTTCCTGTCTGTATTCACATGCTTAGTTATAAACATGAGACACACATAGTTCAGAGTTCTTTTTTTTCAATTAATCTTGTCATAGCCATTTTGCTGAAGTGACATATAGTTGTTCAAATGGTGATAATATTTTGTTGTCTCAGTTTATACTTTTAATTGTTGAAGATGTTTTATATGTTTCCTTATAAATTGTGCATCTGTTACGTAGATGAATTATTCATCCTTGGTCTAGTTAACTAATAAAGTTAACTAATAAACTTTTGGCAGTAAATTTGTTCCCCATTATGTTGCATCATATTTTTCACCCTTAGTGATAAGACAATGTTCTCATATCTGTGACTTTTGCAGCACTTAAACTCCCAGAACAATACAGACCACTT